AAAAAAAAAAATAATAATAATAATAATAAAACAAGTTTCTCAGAAGACTTTCTATTATGGAATGCATTATTCTATGTTTTTATGCATGTCTATGGCATTATCTTGCCATAGTATTTAGTTGCTTGTATTTTAGAATTAGTGTAAGGTTGATTTCCAGTTGTGAACACATGAAATAACTATCTTCGGGAGCTTGGGTCAGAACTCAATTTTAGGCCATTTGTGTTCACTTGGCTCTGTAGCTTGAGGTGAAGTTAGGATAAGAATTGAATAGTCATTATCAAAGTAAATCCCCATATTTCCCTGGGTATTTGCTGTTGCTCTTTGCAGATTTGGGGTAAGTTGTGTCATAGATTGAAGTTATCTAGAACATCACTCTTTAGTTTCTGAAAGAATAAACTTTTTGTTTAATTGATTCTTTGTATTATTTGTTTGTTTGTTTTTTATAGATTTCAGCTTTTTGCTTTATTATTTCTTGTCATTACTACTTTGGGGCATGATTTCTTCTTTTCTCTTTTAGAGATATCAGGTGTGATGTTAGGTTGCTAGCATAAGTTCCCTCCATTTTTTAAATTTATGTAGGCACTTAGTGCTATGAACTTAGCTCTTAGAACATACACCTTCACTGTGTTCCGTAAGTTTGTGTATGCTGTATTTCATTTTCATTTAGTTCTATAAAACCCTTGATTTCCTTCTTTACTGATAATGATTCTCGTGTCTTATTATAATTGTTAATGTATCTCCTTATCTAATTATATTTAAACTAACCTTTATTAATTACTATCACAAAGTTTCCAGCCTAGTTGTGAAACTCTGTAAATAATTGCTAAGTGAACTATATGTCTATGGATGAAAATAATTAAATATTTTTAAATGCAATTCTTTCCTAACTAACAATGCTGTATTAAACTTAAAACATTTTTTAAAAGTAAGTAATAATCTGAGATTATCTTTTGTTCAAATTTTGAGATCTTTAATTTATCCTGATAAACTAAACAGAATAAACAGAAAAATCAAGGAAAGATACTGAGGACAATTCTCATAAAAATCATATTCTCTGATTAGTTTCACCAAAAGAGACTACAACAGAAAGTGGAAGATTTATATTTTATACTTTTCAATGCTGAAATGGAGTTTGTTGTCTAAGATATTTAATAAGCAAAGTCTACCTTTTCCTTTTACTGAATTGTATCTCATCTCTGTTGCCCATAAACCAAAATGAAAGTTTTTATCTGATGAATAGGAGATTATTCTCACAGATTTCAGATTTCAATATAATTGGATAAATGCACCCCTGACATGCTACAGGTCAATAGATTATGTAAACTAAATCATTTTCAAAATCAAGTGATATGTATATTTTGGGTTTGTAAATACAAATTTCTGGTAAAGACCTCATTAAATCAAAATACTAAATCACTAACTCAAATTACTGTTCAGCCTATTATTGTTTCCATAACTACATTAAACATAGGTTTTGTAGAGGACATTTATCTTAAATACTTATATTTGAGTTGTAAGCTTTTGATGAATTAAGGGATAAAATTGTATCAAGATGTATTTTCATTTTCACCATATGGTTTTCTAGTTATGATCAAGATATGAACTCATGTCCCTCAAACTGGAGATGGAAGCAAAAATATCTAAGATTTTGTTTGTAGGGTGATGTGTAGGCAGTGAATCTATGCCTTTGGACTATGACTCTGTCTAATATTTCATGTATCTTTGAAGGAAAACACTAATTGGTTTATTTAGGCATAAAAATACTGAAAAAATTAGTGCTTCAAAACAACTGATAATTTCACATATCTATACTTCAGATTCTGTATCCAATGATATATTCTATATTCTGCTGGAACCTCAAGATTCTGATAGCATTCTCTCCTTTAGTGTCATTTAATCTTTTATCCTGGCCTCTTGGGAAGTGGAAATCCAGGACAAAAAGCTTTCAGTCTCTTTTGGCCTAAACTTAGAACTGGTTTGTTATCAATTCTGTCACATTATACTGGTTGAAAAAAATAAAAATTCAAATTCAATATCTTGATTGAAAACATGATCAAAATTTTATTAGAACGACAATGTAGAGTTGATCAGTGGGTACTAAGTTATAGTTAGATAGGAGAAATAATTTCTGGTGTGCTATTGTATATCCATGTGACTCAGATTACAGCAACATACCATGTATTTAAAAGTTCTAGAATAATGGAATTTGAAAGTTTTGCCATTTGACACATAAAATATATGAAGAGATAAGAATGTTCAACCATATTTAGACATTATGCAATTTACGTATATGTTGAAGTACCACATGCTACCTCATAAATATGTATGATGTGTATGTTCATATTATCCCAGAAATTAAAAAAAGAAAATGGTTCCTGATATTTACTATTAAATCATAGGCATGTAAAACATCATTAACACAATATGCATTAATTTATTTTTAGAGAGTTTCTACTTGACTTTAAAATGTTATTTATTGTTATTAATTATTTATTAATATTATTATTACTGTGTGTTTGTGTGGATGTACACATGCATGAATGTGTATGTGTGTATGTATGCATGAGCCTGCATGTGTAGGTAGGTGGGTATGTACATGACAGCATGTGTTCTGAGGTTAGAGAACAGCCTTATTGAGTTGATTTTCTCCTTCAAACTTTCAGTGGATTGTGCAGATTGAATAAGGTCACCATGTTTGCAGGGCAAGTGCCTTTACCCACTGAACTATATTGCTAGCCCGGTTTGTTTTATTTAGTGTGTTAGCATTTAGTTAGCTATGTGAAATTTTTTAGAAAGGATGATATATATATATATATATATATATATATATATGTGTGTGTGTGTGTGTGTGTGTGTGTGTGTGTGAACAAAATAGCTATAGTAGGGCCAGAGAAATAATACCTTCAGAGTTTTCCTCCTATAGTTTTTAATATCAAAAATTGCCAGAAAAAATTGGATAGGTCATCAGTTATGTCTGTTTTCATGTAATTGTGTGTTTAGTAAAAATAAACTGCTTTAGCAGGGGCCATAATAGTTATTAATTTTTATTTTTTTAGTCTACACAAAGTTCTAATGGATCTCCAGAATCAGAAATTAAAAGAGCTAGACGACTGGCTAACAAAAACAGAAGAGAGAACAAAGAAAATGGAAGGAGAGCCCTTGGGACCCGATCTTGAAGACCTAAAATGCCAAGTACAACAACATAAGGTTTGTAGACATTCTGGTATTTGCTTTCTAGACTAGAAAACCATTTGTGCGTATGTATACTACATATAAATATGAACACATGTGACATTTTCAGATGGGACAGGAAGCTTAGAGTCAATAATTCAAATTGACTGGTAATGTTTCATTCATTATTGTACTGTTTTGACAATGTTCCCCTCTAAGAAGAGGGTGTTGCCAATGTGATAATTTAAAGAAGTGATATTTTAAGAGTTGATTAACCCCTATAAATTCTTCCCACATAAGTAATATTAAGTCCCTTATAAAGAGATGTGTCATGCAGTATTCAGCTATCTTTTCACATCCATATGAGAATCAAGCAAGAAGATTCTAAGAGATGACACCTTGAATTTGGCTTCCAAACGTCTACATCTAAAATAATAATAATTTTTCTTTATAAATAATCCTATCTCAACTATTTTTGATATAGAAGCACAAAACAGAGAAAAGTATATATTCTTTATCATATACAATGTAATCAGTAATTTTTATTTTGAAAAATATTAACACTTATTTCTTGAAGAGTATAATGCATAGTGTGTTAAATAATAAAATTGTGTTTTCCTGTGAGACAGCTTCTTCAAGGATTACCCAAAATATACACTAAAACATTATGTCTAAGGATGCATTTTGTATATGTTTACATTCAGTTCATAATTACTTAAAATAGAGCAAACTTTGTTAAAAATATCAGTAACATTGTTTTACATAAAATACAATATTTTTAAATTGTAAGAGTCTTTGTCCAAATTACTTATACATTTAGTCTTACACATTTTGGTTGGTGGAAATCTTTTCTTGTTTTTGTTGGCTTACCCTTACTGTGATTGAATTCCTATGATTTTTGTGTATCAACACAATTTTGTTTCAGAATGCAAGTGTGGTTCATTCCAACTTGGACTAATCAATGTTAAAACTTATTGTGAGTTTTGTGGTTATAGTAGGAACTTTCCTGCTCCAGGAGTGCAGAAATACAGCCAGGAGCTTTGAAAATAGTCCAAGGCCAGAGCCATGGCAAATAGAAAATAGAAATATAAGAAACCTAGGTAAACTCAAGTTTTTAGATCAGCAACTAATATTTTTAATAGTATATCTCCAATTATTTTTATTGGAAATTACATTTTTGGGCACTCTATTTATAAAGACTGACTTTATTTGGTCGGTGTGTGTGTGTGTGTGTGTGTGTGTGTGTGTGTGTGTGTGTGTGTGTGTGTGTGTTCGTCAGTGTAGGAGTACGGACATCTGAGTGCCGGTCACACAGTCCAAACGATGGTGTCAGATCCTCTGAAACTGAAATTATAGAAGAGTCACCACACATGGATTCTCAGAATTGCACACAGTCATCTACAAGAACAGTAAATATATTTAATCCCTCAGCAATCTCTGAAGTGTCTGAACAACTTTTATGCTACTCCCAGGATCTGCATTGCTTTTGTCTGTTAAATGGAAAGGGCTTATCTGTTCTCTCAACTCATACCTCCTATTATATTTATTGTGCCCAAATTCGTTCTTAGTTTCTAAGACCAAATATCATAGTTCTACGAAGTTAAATGATGTTTTTATTTCTATGATCCAAAATGATTATTTTTCTTGTTGAATAAACTTCCATTTTAACTAACAAGTGGACCTGATCATTGTTGTTGTTACCCCTCTTTCAGTAGTTCAATGGCTGTTGCTGTTAAAAGTTACTTTTATTAGTTTTTTTTTTAGTGTAGTCTGTGTCATATCTCTTTAGAATTGAAGTTATAGGCATTTGTGAGCCTTCTGCAATGGGTCCTGGTATTGCAACTGAAGTTCTCTGCAATAGCCATATGTGTTTATAACCACTAAACCATCTCTCCAGCACCTCCATTGTGGTTTATGACCAAATATTTAAGAATTATGATATCACTATCACCAGGAGAAATGAACTATCAACTGTGTTACAATTGTCACATGATCCCATGACTAAACTTGTCATAAATTAATTAATTGAACATGTGTTACAAATGTTAGCTTAACTGTTAAATTTCTCACTGTGCTACTGGCACTGTGGAGACATGTATTCTTCCGATGGACCCTTTATCTAGCCCTTTCCCCTGGATCTATGCTGGAAATTATGTGTAGAGAGTATGTATTCAAAAACAGCTTCATTTCACCTGACAGAATTAGCTGTCCCTAGAAGCATCTCAGCCAGTGATGTTGAACAGAATGCAAACTTAATGCTACCAAAGCACCGATACATTCTACCTAAGATCCCTTGTCTTATGAAGGAACTAATCTAAGGTATTACACAGTACCAAATATCAGATTCTCAAGCAGCATAGAATGCTTCACATTCTCACTCATTCCTAGCATATCATGGCATCACCTACCAAATTAATTTTTTGCCCCCAGCCTATTATCTTTTGATAAGGATCTGCTCTTTTGAGAGAGTAGCTAACATAAACATCTTGTCTTAGGCAGCAAAGTTCTATCATTAACTAATTTTTTTTTCAGAATCTACTGAATCTATTGCAGTTCTCATATATTTTCTTTGGAAATAAATGATGTTTCTGGTATTATTTCCAGTTAGAATTTTCCTATGTTCAATAGTGTTGAAATCTAAATTTTTTCAAGTAACTGAAGTGTTGTTGGTTGTTTTTGCTCTTTTGGAGGGGGCACCACCTAGCTAGCACTCAAATAATCTCACATGGCTTATTCTTAATTATAAATGCCCAGCCTTAGCTAAGCTTGTTTCTTGACAGCTTTTCTTAACTTTAAAGGATCCCATCTACCTTTTGCATCTGGCCCTTTTCTTTTCTTACTTCTGTATATCTTACTTTCACTTTTACTCCATGGCTGGCTGTGTGGCTGTGTGGCTAGCCCCTAGCATCCTCCTCTCCTTGTTCTTTTTCTCTTTCTTCTTCTTGTCCTTCTATTTATTCTCTCTACCTGCCAGCCCTGCCTATTCTTTCTCCTGCCTTGCTAATGGCTGTTCAACTCTTTATTAGACCCTCAGGTGTTTTATACAGGCAAAGTAACATAGCTTCACAGAATTAAACAAATGCAACATAAAAGAATGTAACACATCTTTGCATCATTAAACAAATATTCCACAGCATAAACAAATGTAACATATCTTAAAACAATATTCTACAAAACTGAAGGATAAGTTCTATAGGATGTAACATCAAAAGGAAAATTCTGATACTGAATGCTTGAGTGTGAAAACAAACAAACAAACAAACAAACAAAAAAACAAAAACAAAACAAGAAACAGGAAAAAGAGGCTCCAAATATCATGGGAAGCCTGTTGGTGCTATTATGGGTCTAGTTTACCTAATCAAAGGCCTAACATTCATACTCTGAACAGATTTTTTATTGAGGTTGCACATACCATCCAAGATGTTTTCTGATAATTACCTGGAATGGTTTATGCTTTTTTTTAAAGATTTAAAGTGAATGGAATGTAAGATATATGACTAATATTGTCATAAACTCTGAATAGATTGTCCATTACTGGAAAAACATGCCATTTCCAATGAATATGTAATTGCTTTATGAAAATAATTTGAAGAAAAATGATTATATGCAAGTTTATTATGGAACATGCTATATCTCCGACATAGTTATGTGTAATTCATAATGAAAATAGAAAAAAATAAGCTTAGTGGCTCAGGGTAAAGCCAGTTCTTAGTTTTAGCCATGTATATGCACCTTCGAAAGATTTGTGTTTATAGACTTAAAACACTGGAAAGACAAAAGGTATTTTAATTTTAAAGTGCAAAATGAAATAATTTGTGTTAAACTTCCATATTCTGTATTTGTAGGTAAATTAGTTCAAATAAGTGGATAATTGAAATAATAATTGATTCATTTTATAGATTTATTTTTTCCAAAATCTATAAATCAAAGAAAATGAAAAAAATTCCTTTTGACAGCAAAGTGAATCATTAATTTCTCTTTTTGCATTGCCACATTGCCTACCATAGATAATATTTAGAGTATTTTACTGTTGGTCAATAGCCCAAAATCCTTGAAATATCTCTGTTTTTGTTGTGGTGGTGGTTGTTCTGATCTGATCAGAGGGCATATATTCCTTAACTAAAAAGCAAGATACAAATATTTGCAAAATTAGCCAGGTGTTGGTAGTGCACACCTTTAGTCCTAACACTCAGGAGGCAGAAACAGGCGGATCTCTGTGAGTTCGAGGCCAGCCTAGTTGACAGAGTGAGATCCAGGACAGGCACCAAAACTACACAGGGAAACCCTGTCTTGAAAAACCATATATATTTGGAAATCTTGTAAGTGCACTATGAATGTTATAGACACACGTGCACAATTTGTGAGAGCAACCTTTGATATGTTCATTCCAGCACCACTTCACTATAAGGTATATTGGAAGCTCCATCATGGGGAAATGCCATCACAATATGACATTTCAGTGAAACTGCCAAATAGCAACTGAAAGTATATTGGTTATTACTATTAAAGTCAGCCAAATGGTTAATTCTGGATAACTGTGAATATTTCAATTGGTTTCAAGTTTTTTTTAAAGTAAAACAACAACAACAACAAAATCAAACCCCTTTCCACTGAATCTTCCTAGCTGTTCCTTTGAAGAGGGCATTTAGGGGGTTACTTTGAGGACTGAATACACTGAAACATGTCCGAAATCATCCTGACTGATAATCTCTGTCTGAGAGATGGAGTGTTTTAGTTAAGCTAATAAGGAAATTATCTTAAATTAGTAGGAACACTATTGAAGAAGTGCCTTCTGTGGTTTGGAGATTTCATTAATTGGAAAGGAATTTAATATTTGGAGGGAATTCCCATCAAAAGGAAAAAGCATCACGATAAAATTGTGTTCCATGGCAGTCAGACTGACATCAAGTTTTGGTAACTCAGATAGGTTTCCAAATCTTTTCAGACCTAGATTTTTGAACATTGCCTCAATGACAGCATCAACAATGTCCTCACAAGTCATTAAAATATGAAGCTATAACTGTAATGTGCACTAT